CACGAACAAAAGAAGTTCCACCAAAATTCCATCATATTTAACATTTAATCTATTGTTATGCTGAAAGAATACAATAATTTCCAGAGGGTTTGTAAGAAGTATGCATGCTTAGGCTTCGACGTCTTAAGGAAACTATCCAGAAGAGTGAAATTCATTTCAGCAACATTGCAGAAAAAGGCTTTCAAATATGTGTTTTTTCCATGTTAAATCGCCTCATGTGGAAAGTAATTTAATAAATGATAGATATATACTGTTCTGAAGTTTCCGTAGGGAAAAACAAGGCTATAACATATCTTTTGATATTGTCTTTCCCTTCTGGCGGGTGCAACTGACCAAGGGGGAGATAATACAGTCAGAAGTGGTGTACAACTTATCTGAATATTTAGGAAGCGAAAGTGTTCAGAAGCCTAAAATATTCATTACTTTATTCGCTTCACTTACGGATAAAATATCCAGATTCTTTGGATTTCTTTTGATTATTACATAGAAACAACAATAATAATCCTTTTCTAGGTTATGAAACGAATCAAGGACGAATTCTAGCACATTAATCGGCAGAATTAGGTATTTTCATGCAAAAAAATTCGCTATTCTGAATCTTTGATGTCAAGAAACACTGAAAAATGTATTTAAATCCAACATAACCTAAAAAATATTGATTTGGACTCGGAAATGTTTATTTAGAAAACTTTCTTGGCGATTTGAAGTCCATTGGCAAATCACAAGAGACGATTTTGTGATCTAAAAGGCTTTCAAGCGGGATCTTTTGGAGATTTCTTAGTGATATTTTGAGGTTATGGTGAGAAAACACCCCAAAAAATTGATTTTAAATGAATTCTTATAGAAATATCGGATGGAAACTTAATACAACATAATCTTTTCCTTTAATTGGACTCCTTTGGTGCCTAGAAATAGTGGAAATTGTGCTAAGATCGTACATAACCTCAAAAATAGTCATTTGGACTTGGAAAATGTTGCTTTTGTTAACTTTCTGGATCATTTTGACTCTGAATCTGATGATGTTGTGATCTAGAAAACTTCTAAACTAAGTCTTTTGAAGATCTCTCAGTGATATTTTGAGGTTATGGTGGGAAAAAACACTCAAAACAAGGTGTTCTAAGTGTTATCTTACAGAAAAATCGGATGAGAACTTGAGAGATTTGTTATAATTTGAGAATTAGTGTGGAAATTGTCTAAAAATTTCAATTATCGGAAGTGTTGTACAAGATTAAGGCCGTATTATCTCTCCCTTGCAACTGACTTATGTTTCATATTTTGAAGAGATCTCATGGATTTCCTAATTCTTTAATATCCGAGCGAGAGAATTCGGCCAAATTGTGCAAAAAGGGAGGAGAAAAGACGAGGGAATTGTTCGGGCACGAGACATCCTTTTGGGGTGTTCATCCCTGTGAGTGTGTTTCGGCAGAAAGAGGAGACGAAATGTAGGACATAAATCGCTAGTCGTCAAGCAGCCTTCAAGGCTGTGCCGCAGGATGAGAAAAGTCAGCTCTCATCGAAGGCACTCGGGTGTGAATGAAGTGAAGAAATTTCCTTCCAATCAACCCAAACTTCTCCACTTTTTCAGTTCCAATTCAATCGAAAAGCAATATTTCATCGATTGAATTTTCTCACAGTAATTTTCTCGCAGTTGTACCCTGAATGATTTCATTTTAATTGCCACCTCGGAGTTCAATTGGTATAGAAGCTCACGAATAGAAGCGAGAAAACTTGAAGTGCAGGCATGAGTTTTTGACACGTCCACGGGAAAAGTTTACATGTCATGAAAGAGGGACAAAAAGGGTAAATTCAAATGAATGGAAATATATGAGAATTAAGTGGCAAATATTTCTCACAATTGTATCACAAGCGACTTTTTCTTTATATGATTCTCAAAAGATATATTAAAAAATTGTCTAAATCCTCAAGTCAGGATAAATTTCCAACCACGTTCAGTCGATTGTATAAAATGCGTAAATGTCATGATTTCACCCATCATTGGGTGAAAGTAGAGAAATTGAGGCATGTCGTGAAAATTTCCTCAGTAATTTTCTACCACATTATTTCCAGTTGAAATTCACCCACAATTCCCGCCCCCAAATTCATGTTTCCCCATCACAGCGCCTCACACCCTCCACCCCCGCCAAGAATCGAGGGAACGCGGGCCGGAAAACGGGGTGAAAAGTCAAAGTGTGTTCCTCCCTTGAATTTTCATTGAATTCGTGTGTTTGGTAGCTATATTTAAACGATAATAATAATTTTATATACCGAATGCTTACATTCTAATCCGTGATTTAATGTGTAAAATATCGATTATGTTTTCAAGCACACACAAACAATACACAATTTCTACGCCGCGTGAGCGTCAGAAAAAGAGATGGAGTTCAAAATTTCGTGGCTTGTTTGTGTGGAAATGAAACAAAAAAAAAGGAAAAGAAAAGTAAAATAGACATAATATTGCGCTGCCTTTTGCTTGCATAAAAGCCCAACATTTCTGGCACATTTTCCACTCTTCTTGTTGTACATTTCGGTCATCATTTGGGGGGGGAGGAAAATGGAATCGGGGGAAATTCTATCGAGTGACATTTTATAGTTCGTTTGGATTTTTTTGCTTTTGATCTCTTTAATAATTTCACCATAAATTTTTTTTTGTAGTAAAATATTGTTTCTCTATTGTTCCAAAAATTCACTTATTTTCATCATTCAGAGTATATTGTAATTAGTTCTTAAATGCAAATTTTCTTTTATACGTTTTCTTTATGCCATAATGAGTGGCTTAGAGTTAAAATAAACTCTAAAGACCACAATTTTGATTTTTATGCTCATTTCAAAGGTACTTCTGATAGTTTTTATTCATCTGCCTTGCTTCTCTTCCTCTTCCTTTGCACTTTTGCATTACGCTACAGTTTCAATACGTTTCAATTACAATACAACTAGTAGGATTTTTCACTTTTGTCTCCACTTACACATTAGCAATTAGGGTTTTAGTTGTCACTTAAATAGAAACATCGAATCTCCCTGATGTGATTGTTGTAATTTTTATGGCTATTCTCTGTTCACCATTTCATCTATTTTCTATTAAACTTCCTTCTTTCTTCATTGATTAATATGAATTTCTTGAAAATACTCAAATATTTTTTACACAATCAAATGCTTAAATACTTTTTTCTTCTTTTTAGGTTTCCTCTTAATAACTTGCCTTCTCATTAAATCTATTTTCTAAAAATTTATAATATGTTTTTTTGATGTAGTTTTACGCCCAGAAATCATTTATTTTTTTCATCATATTTTACTGCACTTGCGAGACTCTTTTGAACTTGATTTTCTGCTTCTTCTTCTTCGTCTTCTTCTTATGAAAATGACACTTTTGTCTCTCTTCCAGCGGTTTTTTTTCTTCTTTCTATGCCAAAAATTCCCATTCGCACTTTGAAATTCTCCATGAAAAAATGGCAAATTTTGGGTGCACCCCAAAATAAGGGTTGCTTTTTGCTGCTTTCTCGTCAGTTTTGACATTGTAAATCGTGACTTTTGTTATTCGTGGTAGACAAGAAGTAGAGAGGAAAAAAGACATTTAATTTTATTCGTCCCTTGTTTCAGAAATTGGAAGCGAAGGTAAATTATTCAATCGATATTTGGGGGTTGAGGTTTTTTATTATTGTTATTTCGAAAGTTTTCTGTCGGTATGGAAAGTGGTGTTTTTTTTCCTCCTGTTTTTTCTGTTCTCTTCACTTTTGTGAGCTCGAAAATTAATCAGAAGCGCGTGATCGCGGTGGAATATTAAAGTATTTTTACGCGTTCGATTGAATATTTAATGAATTGTTTACTAATTAACACCCATCAATTATTTCTCACCACGGGGAAAGTGTGATAAATGTCTCGGGGAAGAAATTTATGTCTTCAATTTACCTCCTTGAAAAGTTTTAGTGAAAGAGAAATTTTTACTACTTTCAAACACTTCTTTTTTTGCATTTCTCCCTGTTTATTTTGAATTTTTTTTTGTATAGCAAAAAGCCACGAAAACGCCGATTCTTTTGCTTTGGCAAAAACACAATGGCAAATTTTTGTCCTCACAAGTGAAAAAAGGGAGAGAGAGAAATAAAAGAATAGCATTGAAATTCATTTCATTTTGCTCCAAGTGGGTTTCGACATGGAAATTTTATATTATTTATTGAAGGATATGTAAATGGGCAAAATGAAACTATATCGTATATGGTGGATTTTTCCTCCCTTATGCTTTCCTCCAGCATGTGAGTTGTAATAAATGCGAAAGAGAGGAACTATAACAATAGATTTTTGGGGTGAATATTTCAAAAAATATGAAAAATCAGCATAAAATCGCTGCCAACTGCCTTTTTCACTCGCACACACAATTTTACATGTTTTTCTAACAGACGCGCACTACAAATATATGAATATATGAAGAGAGGAAGCCTGAAAGTCTCTCTCTCCCCTCGAACAGAAATTTCACTATCCTTTTGCCAATTGTCATTGTTCCCTTTTAGAATATCGTAAAATCCATCTGAATTTAAATACAAACGTCTCTCTTCACAGTCCTCGTGGCGTCTTTGGGAGTTGAAGAAAAAAAAACTCACTAAAAATTAATTTTTCTTTGAAATTGCGGCGCCACGACGACCCACTTTAAACATCCCCACAACTTTATTGACACTCGTTTGCAATGAAAAAGCCCCAAAAAATCATAAATATATTTATTGCATCTCCAAAAATTCCTTATCAACATTAATCTAAAAATATATCTCAAAACGAAGAGAGGAGAAAATGTCTGTGGAAAATCAATAAATGTTCTTGTCAAATTTGAGGCACAAGAGACAGAGAAAAAGAGGGGGAAAAGATATGAGAGTTCGATATGAAATGAATAAAGTCATTAGATATTCCAAAAATTTCATACATTTGAGAAGGATACGCCACTGAATCCCATTAAAAATGACCCTTCGACGCCGTATCTCAGCTGAAGGGGAGGGATTTTGTCCGAAACCATCGGCCGAAGACAGCATTTTTACATACAAGCTCACAATTAGGGCAATTTTTGGAAAGTAAAACAGGCGTCAGAGGAAGAAATTCAATAGAGAATGTCCCCCTTGAATTTTCAGAAAAATGAGGGATAAGAGAAATATTTCTCTGGAAAAAATATGCATAATGGTGATTTGATGAGTTTTTGTAATTCATTTAATCTTTTATGCTTCTCGCGCCGTTGATCGAAAATTCAAATTTTACTCGTAATTGTCACCAGCATTGTGTGCGAGAGCATTGAATGAAAGTAAAATTGCCACTGATTGGGTGAATTAGTGGAGAAATGGGAATTTTTTTCATAGTCACAAATGTCCGCTTGATTTTTTTTCTTCTTCTTCTTGGTCTCAATTCTGAGAATTTGACTAAAATAGACTTTTTTTGTTGTTTGGGTGTAATTTTCAAGACAATCCGCCTGACTGTCGTTTGTGTGAAATAATTCAATTTTCCTTTTTTTTCTTTGTAGTATTTTCGCCTTCAGAAGTTATTTCATCCTCACAAATCCGGGAGAACTTTGATGATTGTTTCGTATTTTGTAATTCTTCAACGCCTAAGTATTGTAATATGACCGCCAATGAAACATTATCAAAGTTATTTTTACCACATTTTTTTCTTCGTTTTTATCCTTTTTACGTCTTTCTGTTATTAATTTTTTTTTCCTCGAAACACTTCATATATCACCCGTTATTATTATAAATATATGAAATATTTAGTCAATGTCTTGTTAATTTTCAATTTCTTCTTCCGCACTTAAAAGAGAGAGAAAAAAAATAAGTTTTTACCAATTAAGTTAAAATTCATCATAACCATTCATTATTTTTTGTTAATCGCAATTGTTTCAATAGTGATTTAAAATAATTTTACATTTTACTTTTCCTCTCGTTTTCTTTTATCTCTTTTTAATAATAAAAAGTTAATTTCTTGTTCTTTTTCATCAGTAATTGCTAAAAGGCACACAGCAATATTTAAACATTTATAGCAATTACCGATTGGGCTTCAATTACCTTTTGATTTAGATGTTTTTTTTTCTTTCCTCTTGTATAATTCTATTCATCGTCTGTTGTTTTTTTTCTATGATTTTTCCTAAAGAATTAAAACTGAAAGCGAACAAATGTCAGAATTTGCTGCCTTGACAAAATTATTTTCTTCAAAATTTGTTTATATTTTCTTCAACTCTGGAGAATTCAGAGATTTTTGCCTCATTTAACCGGAAAAAAATTATTCTACAAAGAAATTTTAATATACTTCATAAGTATTTTTATTAGTTATTTTGTAGAGATGAAAAATGTCGGAAAAATCTTCGAAAAGGTAAACCATTTCCTTTGACTAGTGAGTGACTAGATTTTTGGAGATCACTTGAGTGCTCCTCAACTGAAAACCTGTTTCTTATCATATTTACATAAATTTACAATTATTATAATATATGTTCTGCTGTATTTTCTCCAAATCATCTTCATACATCAGTTTTTGGTTGTACTATAAAGCCCTGAGATTTTATTATGATCTTCCTTCTATTCTCCTATTTCATTCTCTAACGCGCTTTTCTGTAATTGGATTTATGAGAGGTATAAAAAATCTTGGTCTAGTTTCGGTATTCTTATTGCCATTTGCCACTCACCCACCAAAAAGATGTTCTGTATATTCGAAAAAAAATTAGCCTCTGAACAGAGCCAAAGAAAGGAGAATTCTATATAGATAAAATGACGTTTTTTTCGTTCAGAATTTCTCACTATTTTCCTCACAATGGCTACTCAAGACAAATGATCTCACGTCATTTCTTACATACGCACACATATCGAGAATAATATATTATGTCCTGTTTTTTTTTGGGGAAAAAAACGGATCTTTTTTTTCACTCCTGCAGCACAATTTAGCTTTATACCTCCATCTTGTTTTACCTTCAATTAGATTATTTATAGGAACTTTGTTAGAACATCACCAAGAATTATAATTTTATTCTTCTTCTTTAATAACTATAATTTATTATTTGACTCTATTTAATTTTCCTCAATTCTTTCTCATCATCTCTTCATCTTCTTCTTCTTTTTTTTAAAAAAATCTTTAATAAAACTACAATTATTATTTAACAAGATGTTCTCGATATAGTTTGATCTTCCACCTTTTATTTATCAGCTCCTTTTTGTGTAACTTTTTTTTCTTGAAATTCTTCTCTTCCTTTCACAGCGAACAAACCATCATCCGGATTTGTTCAGCTTTTCTTCTTTTACCTCATTTGTGTGATCTTAATATTCATGCAAATTGTTCTCTCATTCTTGTAACAAAAAAACTTTTACTCTCAGTCTTTCCGTTTATGTGTTAGGTTTTTATTTCTTAATCATTTTTACGTCTTGGTTTTTTTTTCCTCCTTTTCTTTTGTCGGAGATTTTCCTCTGTGAATCTCGTCACTCGTTGCAATGGAAAAATTTATCGTTTTTTTTCGTGTGATCGTTTTGCTTGATTTCTGAACGCGCAGCGGCGCCGTGGATTCGCAGGGGGTTGGGGAGGAGTCAGTGGGATCACAGGTGGGTGCTGAGGGATGCTGAAGAAGAGGGCAAGTCACGGAAGTGGGGGAGCCTCCTAGGCGGGCGTCAGCGAGAACGACACAGTGACTGAGGCGGAGATGCGCTCGCGAACGGGCAAAAAGACAACGGCCGGCACAAACCTGTTTATGTCCTTGGGCTCACTGGCCGCGGCGGCCTCCTCGAGGAGGAAGGACTGCATGATCATGGGCTCTGACTCCTGCGGCAGGGCGTAGATGGCCGGGCGCTGCGTGAGGTTGGCCATGTCGGTCAGCATGCTGTTAGACTCGGATTTGGTCATGGTGGGCGGAGCCGGAGCGGCGTCGCTGGAGGTGGCGGCCGGCGGCGGCGGCGGTGGCTGGAAATGGCGCGACATTGGGGCCTCCTTGGCCAGGGACACGGCCGCCTCGGACTGATTGCGGAGCGGCGCGGTGAGAGACGCCACGGCGGCGGGATTGATGAGGGTGTGCGAGCGCTCGTGGATGAAGAGGAATGCGTAGTAGGGCGTGGAGAAGGAGCAGAAGGAGCACTGGTACTCCTTCATGCGGCCACTGTTGGTCATGGCGGGCTCCTCGGCGACACTTGCGGCCACATTGGCGCCCGGCGGGGTCACGAACAGCCCCGACAGCGAGGACTTGAGAGCACTGGCTTCGGCAGCGAGTCCAAAGGCCCCATTGGGGATCTTGAGCGTTGGACTCTGCGCCTTCGCCAGATTTAGGCGCTGTTCAATGTCTCTGAGCTTGTCCGTTCCCGCCTTCCCGTGATCACTCATCAGATGCGCCCGAAGCCACTTAGAGCTGCGGAATCTCCGGCTGCACAGCGGACAGACCTCGGTGAAGTGGGAGAAGTAGCGATTACTGAGATCTGCCAAGTCGCCGGACTTCATGCTTCCTCCACTCTCCATCCCCCCGTAGCCGGATGATTCCTCCGTGGCCGCGGCCTGAGATGCAGCAGCAGCCTGATCGCCATTCTGGCGGGACTGAGGCAACGGCGCGCCCTCTTCCACGATGCCGTGCGTGTTGTGCTTGTGGACACGCAGAAAGTACTTGCTGCAGAGTTCCTTGTTGCAAATGTTGCAAATCACGCCACCGATCTGGGCGCCATTCTCAATCTCGATGCCGTGCATCCGCTGCATGTGTGTCTTCATGAAGTACTTGTTGCACAGCTCTTTGTTGCAAATCTCACAGTAGCTCGAAGTGGGGGTGATGGTGTAGGGCGGCCGGCGGTCGGCCTGGTGCGGCGCCGCCGGCATTTGGAGCACAGAACCAGTGGGACGCTCGGGAGTGACGAAGCCCTCGCGATTGGGCAGCGGAGGACTGGCCGAGGCGTTGTGAGCCTCAGCGATGTGTTGCTTCAGGGCGGCGACTGTGGGGAAATCCTTGTCGCACTGCTTGCAAGTCTCCCCGGAGACGTGGCTGGCAACAGTTGTCTGAGCTGGCGGCGCTGGCGTGGAACTGCGACTGGTTTTGATATTCTCCGTTGCGGCCGCCATGTTGCCGTGCTCTGAAATCATGTGAGCATGCAGCATGTACTGATTCTCCTGATCCTTGCCACACACTGAGCATTGCGTGGCTCGTTGGGCATTCAGGTCGTTCAGCTGGAGGATCATCGACTGCAGCTTCTGGAGATCCACACTGATGGCATCGGTGTCTCCTTGGGTCGTCATAGGGGATGTTGGTGTCCGTCTGGGTGACTTGGATTCACTCGCCTTCTCGCCGTCTTCGGACTTTGCACCTTCGCCCTTCGCGTCTTTTGGCGACTTGAGCGGCCTCTCGGCAATCTCGTTCAGCATCTTCTGTTGCAGTTGCTGCACCTGTCCGAAGTCCGCGCCCATGATGAGGTTCAGGGGACTCGTTTGAACGTAGTGCCACGGATTGCGCTCGCCCATGTTCTCTTTGGTCTCATCGGGTGGCATGAGGATGCCGTGTCGCTTCAACTTGTGTGTCCTCAGGAAATACTTGTTGCAATATTCCTTGCAGCAGAGCTCACAAAATGCTTCCGGATTAATCACGCCCAGACGCTTGAGTTTCTCCACACTGAAGTTGGCTTCGCGAGCCTGCTGACTGGAGGCCGGAGAGAGTTTCCTGGGCTGCGGCGTGAAATTGGCGTCTTCCTGTTCAATAGAGAAGTCCTGACGAAAATCATCTGGCAGACGAAATGTCTGCGAATCCCCATCAAACACTTCCTGCTCCACCTTCATGTCGTCCACCTCGTGGACCTTGCTCCTGTGGCGTCTCATGGCGAATATATTAGTGAACTTCTTGTAGCAAATGTCGCAGAAGACCGTCGGTTCTGGCGGCAGGAGACTCTGGGGGTTCTGCTGCTGCTGCTGCTGGAATACTTGAGCCATGCTCTGGTGCATGTGCTGCGTTTGGCGTTCGCCCGCTTGGCCCACTTCGCTTCCAGTGGGCACGGAGCTCTCGTAGATGCCGTGCTTGTTGGCCTTGTGCGTCTTGAGGAAGTATTTGTTGCAGAACTCCTTGTTGCACAGGTCACAGTACGCTTCGGGATTGAAGATGCGCAGCTGCGGCGCACTCGGACGCGGCATTGGCAGACCGTCGGCATTGGTGGTGAAGGACGCCACTGGCGGCACGCCCAGGAGCGGAAGGTAGCCGCCGGCCGTGAGCGCTGCAGCCGCCTCCGGGGGGAAAGGGAATGGAAGTCCTGCATTCGCCAGAGACGCCAGCCAGTCATCCTGTTTGGAAGCGTTTGTCGCCTCCACACGGCGATCATCGCCCTCCCAATCCGACGGCTCCTTCTTCACCCTGATGCTCGACATAATCTTCTCGCCAGCCTCTGGTGAGCTCCCGTGTTGGCCATCCTTGAAGGACACGATCTTGTGCTCGTGCATCAAATGTATCTTCAATTTCAATTCCGAACGGAACTTGGCGTCGCATTCTGTACAGTTGAGGATTGTCGGAGATCGATTGCCCTCCTCGTCGTCCTCGGAGACGTCTGTGCTGTGGAACTTCATCTCTGTCTCGACAAATGAGGCGAAGTTGATCTCATTGGCCGAGTGATCCTGGGGACTCTGGGAGTCCTGCATCTGCTGCAGGTGGCCAAAGAGGAGCGCCGCCTTCTGGACAACGTCCACGGACTTGTCCGCCAAGGAGTCCAGCATCATTTCCTCACCCACACCATTATTTGCACCCCCCGACTCACTATTGAGAGCTGAGATCCTGATCGGTGTCGACTGCTTCCGCCGCTTCTTCGACAGATCCGCCGCCGAAGATTCTCCCGCGCCGCTGCCGCCGCCGCCGCTGCCATTGTTTGCCGGCGCAGCTATCGTAGATCCTGCGAAAAACACATTCGTACTTTGTACACGGCCAGTGAAGAGAGATTCGGGCAAAGCGCGAGCAATTTGCAATACACCAAAAAATGTACGCGCAATTCAGTGGAAGACCACGCCTTGGCCAAGTGAATTTTTCAATGTTAATAATAGCTCTATGAAATTAATCTAAACTCCAAGTTGGCCCAACACGACTGTGTGTGTGTTTTGTCGTGAAGGTTTAATTAAAATATTCACTTATTCACCTGTGGTTGATGATGAGTTGCATGAATTCGGTGAATTATTCACAAATGAGGACGATGTTGACAAAGTTCTTTTGGTGGCTAATTTCTGTGACGTTGAGTTTGTACTGTTGGCTTGTGAAGAGTTTGAAATATCGCTGAGGGCTGTGTCTTCGCCACTTAAATCAGGTGGTGGAGTGGCGTAAACAGAAGCTGCCATCACGATCTGCGGCAAAAAGGCACAAAATTACTCTCAAACACCCTGCAAAGCTAAAGCGAGATTTAAGACGTTGCTTCATTCGGAATGCTTCAAATTTCAGTCAAATGATTCACAGTCTGCATCAAGGGGGCAGATATTATGGTCGGAAGTAGTGTACAATTTCACGGAAGTGGTAAAATATTTACAATATTTGCATTGCAAAAGCTTCTGTTTCAACAAATTTAGGAGTTACTCAATGAAATATGCCTAAAAAATCAAATTCATTGCTTTTTCTTAGGTTATATGATTTATTTGAAACAAATTCTGGTGATTAAGTAACCCTAAAAATCACCAGAATTTGTGTTAAGGCTGCAAATATTTCTCTTTTTCTCCGCAAATTTCAGCATTTTTTATTAAAAACAATCTTTATATTGATTAAGAAAAAGCTTAAAAGTCAATCATAACCTCAAAAAAAATCGAATTTCAGCCTAGAAAAGTATATCTTTGTCTAGTTATTTCCGTGGTTTTTCCTTTAAAGTGTTAAATTCAAGTTATTTAGTAAAAACAATTGAAGATATTCACAAAATTATTCTTTTCCAGGTAGGAAAGGATTTAAATTAGTCCTATAAGAATTTTCTAAGAAGAATTCATAACCTCACAATTTTATTAGATTGTGATAAGTTAGAAAAGAGTGTGAGAAACAGTTGAAGAAGGCGAAAAGTGTCTCTGAAGTGTTGAAGATTCTGCACAGAATCTGAGGAAATGTCAGGAAGTGGTGTACAGATTTGAGGCATATTATCCCCCCCTTGGTTTGCATGACAATTGACTTTAAATCGAAAACTATGAAAAGTCAAAATCGTCATTTTTTAAGTGAACGAATTGAAAATTTAGCTTTAATATTGCTTCAAAATTTGCCGAATTCAACTAAAAACCCTCAAAACAGTGTCGAATTGTTCTGAAAAATAATTTATAAGTTTATTTTATTGTTGTTTATGGGAATTTTTGACTGAAATATGACAAAGTTAAAAAAAAACTGAAAATTCCAAAGTCGATTTTTAATAGCATTTGAGAACATTTTCTTCAAACATGCTCTAAAAGATCAGATTTTCATACTGTTCATGAACTGTTCTTTAAGGCCTTCAAGTGAAAAAATTAAGAAATATGACAAATATTGTAAAGTTTAAGAACATTTTAGGAAAATTCCGAAAGAAATGTGAGCAATAAATGGTCGGTTTTTCACAGTTTTCGATTCACCGGTCGAAATTCACGATGAAACTTTATCAAACTCACCCACAATAAAAAATCTCACTTATTAATAAATGTCTTTTCTGTATTTTTGTGTATGAAATTCTCCGTCTTCGTTAAATTCTCTCTCACTTTCCAATATTTGCACTAACAATAATAGAAAATGCTCTCACTTCAGCTATCAAAAGCCAACTGATGGTTGAGATGGTTTTTTCGAAAAATCCTATACAAAATTTTGAAAGTGCAGCACAAATTTAGTGCTTCCCCCACCACGAAAAATCCTAATTTTTGGGAGAATAAAAGAGAAGTGAGTCACAAAAAGCACCCCTAACATTTTGTGACCCCGATTGACGATTTCCAATTTATTGGGATACTTTTTTTTTTGGTGTGTGCAGAAGAAGAGGGAAACACGAGTCACCCTTCGATTTGTCTCGCTCCTTTCGAAAAATTCAAATTTGCACCACTTGCCTTTATGGAATCAATGATGAAATTCAATATGCGTGACAGAACAACAGACAATTTGTTATTGAAGAATATGAATAATTTAGCTAAAAAATTGTCTCAATTGCCTCAAAATGTCACAATTTATGCACTGAAAATAACTCGTGAACTTGTTGAGTAAATTCAATTGAATTTTCATCGAATTACACGATTGGAAGCAACAAAGAAAACACAGAGAAAAGTTAGCAATCGCGAGAGAGTGACATCTTCTCCGGGGCCTTTTGGACGAAATTCACTCTAGCCCGGCCTTAATTATATTTTTGTTTTCCTCGTGCGTCTTCCACTTTCTCACTCCGTCCCCGAAAAAATCTATTTGCAATATCCGAAAGGAGATTCTAATGTAATTTCCTTGTGAAAAGTCCTGGCCACTGAAACATTGAGTGTAATTAAATTTTTCCTTTCTCCCCGGCCCCGAGTCGCCCACTCACGTTGCCAGCCACCCCGTGGGCCGCCCATGTGAGAGCTCACCCTCACCCGGAAGGGTGGGGGGCGAGGGTGGCAACACATGCGTGGTCTTGACATTGTTTCCAGCAGCCCCAACTGAAGATTTGTGCTCAATTTTCTTCTCTCTTCTCTTCGATATATTTCATACTCCAAGTTTTATATCCCCACACCAAAGCGGCCAGTTCTGGCCTGCGGAGAGAGGAAAAAAAGTTGCTTTTTCCACCACAATTCTCCCCCCTGGGTGCGGAAGGGGGGTGCGAGCGAGGGAAGTGGGCTGAGAAGAGGTCCAGGCAGGAAAAAAAAAGATGAGAAAATTCAGTCACTCGAAATGTTGGACACAAAAAATTCTCCTTCTGCAGACAAAATTTACCAACAGGCACATGCTCACTCATATCTCTGGCTTCAATTGAACTTTCACCCCTCCGCCCCCGTGCTGGCTCCCGAAAATTCTCGCAATTCAGCTCCCCATCCTGTCCAGGCAGGACTTCGATGGGTGAAATGACTAAAATCCACACACACACACACACGCGCGCCAGGACAAGCTCTCGTCCACCCTCTTCGGACCTGAGAGCTTTTTCTCCGACTCTGTCCACTCCGCCACCCACTCCAGCCCCACCCACCCATCCAGCCCACCCGGAGGACTGAAGACCGGGGCGAAAAAGCAAAAAGAGGCTGAGGAAAAAAGTTCGACACACACAAGAAAACTTCGCACACATGTAATTTTCTTCAAGTGTTGGTAAATTTTTATTTATTTTCCTTTCGCTCTTGTTCTTCTATCTCTTTTCACCTTCTCCACTTGCTTTTATCACACTCGTACATATTTGGTTCTGGATTTGAAAGATGTGAATTGTGGGATTCATAAAAGATGCAGAGTTAGAAAGTTTCAAAATGACCAAAGCCAATCTTTCAGGAAAATAGAAGAAAATTTTGCTTTATGCTTTCACACTCAGAGAAAAAATATGTTCTTGGATCAAAAACTGAGATTTCTTGAAATTAGCCTAAATCTACCAAATTTGGAGTCTTTTTCGGCATTTAAAATGTGAAGGAAGATTTCCAAAGACTTTTTAAAATTCCACCCTTTTTTTGAAATTAGTAACGAATAGAATTCAGGATACTTTGGCTTAATCCTCCACTTTATTTTCGACAAAATTAAACCTCTTTCGTGATACTAATGAATACATTGAAATTGCTTTTTACTTAGTAAGACTGAAAATTTGTATTTATAGTCATAAATTCAAGTTTATTCCGGAATGAAAACATATTAGGTAGAAATTATTCTTATTTTTGTTCCTAGATTAATTGACTTATGGAGAAAATCGATACATATTTTGTCCAAACTTGAAAAGAAGGTGTTTTTTTCTACATTTTTAGACTGAAAACAGGGAATTTTCTGCATAATTTCAAAAGTTTGTTGCGCACAAAAGTAGAAGATTTTTCGATGTTTTGTCCCAACGTAGAAAAATACTAATTTCAAGACTGATAAGGACTTGAATGAATGAAAAGCTTCAATCATTTTCTAATTCTAAAAAGAATCCCCATTAAATTCCATCTAATTTTCACTCTTTCTTGCGAGGAAAAGCCTTTCGTTTCAACTAATTAGCGAAACATTTCGCAAATTTTCCCCCAAATCGCCAATCCTAAAGGACGAGAAGAGAGAGAGAGAGTGGAATTTTCTCACACAGCAACAAACGAGGGAGACAAGGCAGAAAAAAGGAGCAGGGAAAGTGAGCGAAGGTGTGTGTGGCAAATAATGTCTTGTACCCAGAATCCCATTGAAATTGGTATTTTACTTCTATTGTGGTCAGAATTTCACTTTCACTCACTCTCCTGGAAATCATGGACGAGAAATGGGCGGACGAGAAAGTGAAAAATGAGAGGAAGTGCAGAGACAGGAATTTGTTCTCTTTCTTTTCTACCATTTTCCACCTTAGAAATTTTCACCACGCACTCCAAACAAAGTGGACTGTCTGCAAAGTGTTGAATTTCAGGGGGGCGGTGGGGGGGCAAAAGGGACGATATATATTGAAAGGAGCGCCATAAAATTCGGTGAAACTGACCAAGAGGAAAATTCGCAAAAGCCCTGGGAAACACGGTAATAATTTTCACAGAAAGCTCACATGATCTTCTCACCCACCCACGCTGACTGTCGTTTCGCAGGGCGAAATGATGGAATTTTTTAAGCACAAAGCTCTCCGCCACCAGGCGTCCCCATCGTCACGCGTGAATGTCCGAAGCTCATCAAATTGCACCCTTTCCGCCCCATAATTCTCCCATCAATTGCACACTTTCTTGCGACAGAAATACAGAAGAAAATTCAATGATTCTGCTAAGGAATTCTGCTCTAGATCTTCAATTAAAAAGGCAAATATAGGAAATAAATCCATCAGTTTTCATTCCCGTGCCGAAGTCAAAATCTCTTTCGCACACTCACGGCACTTTCTTGTGGTGAAGAAATCTCTTGTGCGAGTGCGACAGAGAGCAGAATGAATTGGGGATGTTTTTGGGAACTTAAGGATAGACAGAGAGGAATGTAAATGCCAATGATTCTCCTTGCTCTTTCCTCTCTGCCGCCCCTTGAAGAATGTGAAAAGAAATAAAATACAGCGAGTATGAGAAAGAAGAGGAAACGGAAGAAGGGAAAAGTTTGATTTTTCGCCGTGAGCAATATTATATGGGAGGAAAATTATTTCTTTGTGCGAAATTGCTTTTCAATATACATATGTAATATCAACTCGCACACAAACACACACTCTCACTCCAGTACATATATTGAAGTCTCTTCAGAACTCCACATAAAATTGTTTCACAGAACTTAACTGCCATCCTTTAAAAAATAC